ATGTGTTTATATATATATATAAGGGTTTGTTTGTTTTCAGATATTCGCTCAAAGCTACTCAAGGACTATCTACACTAGCCGTCTCTAATTTTGAAGTGATAAACTGGAGGAAATGTAGCAAATGCTCAAATTGTGGAAAACATAATTAGAAAAAAAAAGAAGAATAAAGCAAACAGTAATACTGTTCATGAAATTTTCAGTTGTGTAAATGAGGATTTTAAAAAGAGAGAAACAGTTTTTGACTTTATGCATCCCTTATCCTAATTAAGTAATTATATAAAAATTTCTACCAGATTGTTTGTTTGTTTGTTTTGTAATTATGCACAAAGCTACACAAGGGCTATCTGTGCTCTGCCCACCACGGGTATCGAAACCCGGTTTCTAGCGTTGTAAGTCCGCAGACATACCGCTGTGCCACTGGGGGGCATTCTACCAGAAGAGCTGCTAAAAATCTATAATAAAAATTGCAATTAATAATAAATATTTTGAATTATAAGTAAAGACAAACTACTAAAAACTTATATGACCACTCTGCCCTGGATCATCAGTTAGGTACCTTTGCTACTAGTGGTGTTTTCGACCTTTAACCCAATAACGCCTGACGAAGCATGCTAAGCACCAAAGTGAAACTGTCACATGTAAAGCTTCATGTACCATGCCTATCAGTCTCTAAAAGTTGTTCAATTTAAAAATTTAGTGTTATATATTAAATGTATATAATACTATAAATAACCAAAATACACATTGAATCAATTTAGTTTAATACTGTAAATTACTATAAGTTACAGAAACACACATAAACTTTCGTCTTATTTAGTATGTGAAAAGTTTCGGCTATACGTCCGGCTTGTGTTTACAGATATGTCAGAAAAGACTAGGAAGTGACAGACTTAAATTTATTAATCCATTTTGTAATAAGGCCGAAAAAAATAATGCTTAAAAATGTTATGATGCTTATATAGATTTGTATAAAGCCGTTTAAAAATAGTCATTGGTAATAAAATCAAATTATTTTTTAACATGTATATTCAAGTTACTAAACTAGATGTGAAGGACAATTTCAGGAAACGTACTAACGTCTAACTCATTGAATCAACTCTTCCGAAGTCGTAGTGAATTAACCATAATGATTTTAATTTTTATTATTTGAAGTTAATATTCTATAACTGTTAAGTATGATATTCTGTTTTTCTGTTTTTAACGTTGAAGTTCTTTTCAACTGATAATTCGATACATAGCTGAGGAAGTTGCGAAATGCGAAAAACATTTAGGACTAGTTTTTCTTAAGTGATGTAAGAAAAAATAAATGAAAATAAACGATAGTTGAAAAAATTCTTAGCATATTCTTCTTTAATACGATTCTCTATGTCTGGAAATGTCGAAAACAAAAACAAGTCAAATCGAGAAATATTCTCAAAATACTAAAAAATCTGATTAAATTGTAATACATATGTTACTTGGTTGCTATGCTTAAAGGAGCTGTAATTGCATTTTGAAGAAGGTGTTCTGTGAGTTGAAACTGGGTTCCAGTCGAATCAACCTGAATGGATTGGAATGTAGGCCATGTGGTTCGTAAGAAAGTTGCTGATGCATGGGAAAGAGCTGAGGCGGCTTTAAAAGCGTCCTTTATTCTTCCTTAACATTTTACTTTAAACTTTTTGCTCTTTTATTTGTTAGTTTTTTAATGGTAGTAATTTTTGGACCATGTATTGATTCTTCTTTAGTAACTTTTTACATGCGTGAAGTCTATATGACATGAATTGTACATTTTTTTTCAAATGACACAACATAAATTTCTAACTGCAAAACGCGGGACAAAGTAACAAGGAGTGAAGAATAATTTTTGTAGCCTACTCTTCTGAAAATTATAACCTTGAAGGGCTGTAGCAGTTTATCATTTTACACAATATAAATGGAGTACAGTAGATCTTGTTGTGTAAGTGATTTCTCATTTATGTTGGTTTTTGTTTTTAAATAATTATTTTACAAACAAAATACATCCAATCATGTTGTTATAGATTTTATGGTTACTAAAAACGCCTATAGATAAGATCTTGTTACATTAGTTGAACTTTATAACAACAAATTATTATAAATATCTATCAGTAATTAATTTATGTGTGTGTGTGTGTTCTAAGCTCATTCTGAACTCCGAGGCCGATTCTGGTACACTACATTAAACCTCAAATGTATGACATAGGCATTCATATTGAACTATTCTTTTACATGCCTGTGAGACTTGCGTCAAATTTAATTAAGTAATAATAATAATATTGCTGCTTTGGAAAACTACTTAACACACCATCTTCCATCCAAAGAGAATCGGGGAAAAATTACGTAGTTAAAATGTACAGCGTTTACTGATTATGAGAATTATTAATTCAGAGTCGTACGGCCCATAAAGCTTTACTGTATATTAATCCGCCAAAGAGTTGATGATGATCTCACCTGAGGATAATTATGAGTTTATAGGTGACGTTAGGGTTCATTATTAGTTGTGTTTAGTGATAACTTAGTGTATTTAATTTTGCATGGTTAAACAAAAATTGAAAAACTTGGTTAGAAATCTAATATTTCTTTCTCTTTTTTTTTCTTTTTCAGCAGGTTACAAACTAAAATGTTAACACAAATAGATCAAGTTCTTTTCCGGTTAGGAAAACCAGGTCGGTTTCAAGTGCTTGTTATTTTCTTACTTTGCTGTGTTCAGCTTCAAACTTCCTTTAACAAATATTTACTGGATTTTTACATCGATTCTCCTCCTCCACATCGCTGTAAAGCTACATCTAATGCTACAGTAGGAGAGAGTGAACTACGACCCCTTGTGGAGGAGAAAGGAAAAAAACGATACTCTTCATGTGAAATGTACGTGGATCCAACCAATCACAAACTTGGAACTAAAAATTGCATCAATGGTTGGGAATATTTTACTACAGAAATAGAATGGACTATCATACCTGAAGTAAGGTTCATGAGCTACTAAATATAATTATTTTATGTTGTGTTTGAATAACTTAAAATTTATTAGGCCTTAATTTTGTTTTTGTTAACACAAAAATATTAATAATTTAAACGGATCCAATAACGAAACTTCAGGAAGAGGTAGAGGCCAAATAAGAAATATTATCAGCATTATCAGATAGGCAAACTGATAAATAATCAATCATGTTTTAAGTTAAGCAGTGATTGGGTGGAAAATTATTCGATATCCTGTGAGAAAGTTAACAAGTCATTATGAAAGATAGCAATTTTCTCTTTTATCGATCAGGTAATGTCATCTTAGCATTCAAAAATAACGAGATCCAATTATTTCAAAGTAAATTTTGACGAACACGGTCAGAACGAGATTTATTATAGGCTTAGATTACGTAATTATTTTTGGAAATTTTACCTATTTTTGATTTATACTTTGAAAACGTGGAACTACATTATTTTATGAATTATGACGAGTATTTCCATTTATTTTCAATATATCGCTAAGTTTTATTTCTCAAAAATTCTTTGAGTCACATGTTAAGTTCAATACAAACCAGTTGAAATCTAGCCACATAATAAAAAATAAATAAACATTAATGAATGTAGAGGACGTTTCTTTTTTTTTAATGCAAAGCCAGTGGAAATGAACTCAGGATTTTAGTGTTGAAAGTGTTTTAACATACTGCTGACCCACAGGAGAAAAGTAATATTAAAATAGAGACACACACACTAAAAGTGTGTGTGTCTAAAATTGTGAGTAAGGTCGTGTTGTTAAAATGTTAGTAAAAAGTTATGCTTGTATTCTGGAATTTTTTATTAATATTTGTAATGTTGTAGTTTTTTTTATAAATTTATATGAATAATCGAAATATGGTCACACATTTGCTTCCTGTCCAGTGGGACCTCGTCTGCGAGTGGGAATACCTTGTTACTTTGCTTCCTTATCTTTCGTGCGGTGGCGCTATGATCGGATGTCTACTCTTTGGCATGCTGGCTGATCGTTTTGGAAGACAACGAGTTCTAGTGACCCTTTTAATTCTATATACAGGAAGTTCTGTTTCATTGTATTTTCTATCTCAGTTTGTGCTTTTTTCCACTATAATTGGACTCGAAGGATTCTTCATCACGGTATGTAGCATGTATGATAAAATTAAATCATAATTATGCTTAAGTTTAGAAAACTATTGCTAGTCGATAAAAAATATAGGTTAAGTTAAATTATCAGATTTACCTGGCAGATAAAGCTTAACAATGCAAAGTAAGTAAATATATATTCTGTAAAAAACGTATTTTTTCAATGTTTTGAGAGAATTTCTAATTTAAACACTTGTTTTTATAGGTGTATTTTATATTAATGTCGACTCTACTCATTCTTTAAGCCTAATGTATTCTAACTACCAGATCGGACTTTCACCACTAAAATCCGGGGTTAAATTTTTCGCGGTGGACAGTGTGCAGATAGTTAAGAAATACCAACAACCTAAATGCCTTGAAGCTTTGTTCTCTCAGATGCTTATCAAAATACAAAAATTTTTGCCATTTCTCTTAACAGTCAAATATTAGAGTTTAATGAGACGAAATCTTTTCACACTCATTTTCCATATCACATTATTTAACGGTCCGAAAATAACTAGTAGCCTATCACTATCTAGAAGCACCCGCCCGTATTGATCAAATCAAACATAAAAATAACTATGATATCAAATCTATCCTTCGAATTATTAAAAAAAAAGGTTTTACAAGATACTAAATCATATTTTAGGTTTAGGAAGTAAGTCAGGTAATAAACTGAAACTAAAGGCTTTCAGTAACAATATTATTAGTCATCATAATTAGCAATTTGTTTCCATTACTTTTGATTAGAAAAGGTGGCAGATATATTTTCAGAAGTACTTTAAGTACCTAATGGAGGAAGAGGTCTAGATTGAACCTGACCCTCCCAGGTCTACAAAGACCTAAAGCTCGATACCAACCGAACGAAATACCTAATGTGTGTGCTTGCTGTATATTGTACGTATCAACATGGGATTAGAGCCTTGGAGGAATGCTAAAGGGTGGGATATTATTGATGTTTGATTGAAGTTAAGCACAAAGCTACACATTGGGCTATCTGTGCTCTGCCCACCACGGGTATCGAAACCCGGATTCTAGCGTTGTAAGTCCGCAGACATACCGCTGTGCTACTGGGGGTGGGATATTATTACGGAAGATTATGGGACGGTTGGGTTGCTATTTTTTCTTCAGTATGAATAATATTCCAGTTCCTGAAAATCTTATATTATCCATGAAACTGGTAGAGAAAAAT